AGTGAATATTACATATAAGCTAATCAGAAAATATGATGAATGTGTAATTATAAAAAATCTATTATAAAATATACTGCCAAGAGTGATAGGATAAAAGATAGCAAAAATGAGTATTTTTAAGGGATAAATGGTGCTGTCTTTTATTATAATGAGTTTTAAACTTAAAATAATTATCATAATTTGGTCAAACCACATTGATCAGTGTTTACAGCAATTTTGGCCAAATAAAAACATTATGGTATGTGCTCAATCTACCTTGTTCATCAGATCTGGTATCTGCAACTTCTGGCTCGTCCCCAAAGTCATTTAATAACAGTGAAAGGGAAACATTTTGAATGGAGCCAAGACATCAGGGCATCCGTGACAATATACCTAAGGTCAGCCAACAAAGAGAACTTCCAGAAGTGCTTCTGAAAGTGTCAAGATTAGACAAGGATGTTTCAAGTAAGGGAGATTAATGGTAATGTGTCTTTTACTGTAATTTTTTTTTTTTTTTGGCTCCCTGGGATTGAACTCAGGTCCTTGTGCTTGCAAGACAGGCCACCGAACCGCTGAGCTAAATCCCTGGCCCAACTGCAATATTTTAAAATTTAAATATTTATCATGTTTTTCAACCATACCTCCTACCATTTAATTGTCCTGAAACCATATGAAGTGAGTTTGCTCATTTTACAGCAAGAAACTAAGGCAAAAGGATACTAAGCAAGCTGCTAAATGTCCCAAAACTGGTAAGTGAGGGAGCTCAAATTGGTGAATCTGGACAGCACTGAACTATACCTCACTGAGCAGTTAGTCACTAAAATAAGACACCTGGAAGCAATTTCTTCTTGTGAAAATCAGAGCTGTCTTCTTTTTTCTCAGCCCCATTTCTCATGAGGGTCTCTTACATACTTCTTGAGAAGACAGCATCTATTGTCAAAGGACTGTTACTACAAAACTTTCACGATTCATTATCTTAAGTCTTGCCAAAGGTTGCAAAATAAGTTAAGACTCCAAAAACTAGGGTCTGACCAAGATAGTTAAAGAATGTATTTCCTCCTAAAAGTATCAATGCCTTTCCAGCTTGTGGAAATGCTGCAAAATGTATAAGACACGTAAGCATCTGTGAGCTATAGCTCGAAAGAGAGGTGAAGAACACAGATTCCAGAATAAACCAGCCTCGCTTTGAAGATCCTGGATTCAAAAATCAGTAGCTATGTGCATAGAGTGTGTTATTTATCTCTTGTGTCTTAAGTTTCCTAACTGTAAAATGTAAATAATAGAATTTAGCTCCTGGGATTGCCATGAAAATTAAATTAGTTGATGTAAATAAAACACTCTTGGCACATTACAACCAGTAAATCCTGCATACAGCTCAGTTATTTTATTATCATTTTTATCAATACTAGAAGTACTAGTAGTAGTAGTATTACTAATGTTGCTACTTCTACCACTACTGCTGCAATTACTTCTGGCCAGAATTAATAGCCAAATGTTAGTGACAACGGATGAGAAAATGTTCACTTTCTTGTAAAACTGATGAAATTCAAAGTATCCTTTTTTTAAAAAAAAATTTAAAGGTAATTTTTTAATGTCACATATAAGAACGCTTTGTCTACTTTTTTCCAATAGTTGTAAAGT